GTTCTCTGTTGATGTGCTGTTCCAGTCATTTTTGGATAATTTTCAGTAAAATCTTGCTTGCATGTGAAATCAGTGAGATTGTTCTGTAGTTTCCACATTCGGTTGGGTCACCTTTCTTTGGGATAGGAACAAATATCGATCTCTTCCAGTCAGTTGGCCAAGTGACCCCACTGAGGTTTCATATTAGTACAATCAAATGTTCTGGCATTCCCATTCTTCTCAGAGTCAGCCATGGCTTGTTGTGATCCACACAGTCAAAAGCTTTTGAATCGTCAGTGGAGCACAGATAGACATTTTTCTTGTATTCTCTGCTTTCTGCCAAGATCCATCTAACATTAGATATAATATCCCTAGTACCACGACCTTTTCTAAATCTAGCCTGCACATCTGGCAGTTCTCTGTTGACACATAGCTCCAAATATTTTTGGATAATATTCAGCACAATCTTGGTTGCGTATGATGTTGTTCGATAATTTCCCCACTCTGTTGGGTCACCTTTGTTTGGAATGGGAACAAATATTGATCTTTTGCAGTCAGTTGGCCAGCTGGCTGTCCTCCAGATTTCTTGGCACAACTTAGTGAGCACATCTAGGGCGGTGTCTGTTTGTTGAAATAAATCAGTTGGTATGCTGTCAACTCCTGGCGCCTTGTTGTTTTCCAGTTCCTTCAGAGAAACTTGATCTTCCGCCTTCATTACCATAGGCTCTTGCTCATATATTATTTCATGAAATTTTTCTATGTCAGCTAATTTCTTCTGATACAGTGGCTCTGTGTACTTCCTGCATTATTTAACATTCTACCACAAAGTATCCGTAAGTATTGGCACCCATGGCTCGAATTTGGTTTTCAACTCCTTCAGCTTAAGATATGATGAGCGAATTCACCCTTTTGATTTTCTGACTCCAGCTCTGTGCACATTTCAGTATAATATCTTGCTTTGTCGTCCCAAGCTGCCGTTAGAAATTTTCTGTTCAGTTCTTTGATTTCGTGGTTTCTGCCTTTAGATTTGGTTTCTTGGCACTCTAATGCAATACTCAGAGTCTCATCTGACATCCATCTTGGCCTTTTCTTCTTCAGCTTTTGTAATGATCTTTTACATTCTTCATGGACAATTTTTTTTTATTCCTTCCAGAGCTCATTTGGTCTATGCTTGTTGGTGCTCAAGGCCTCAAACCTGTTCCTGAGATGGTTTTGAAATTTGAGTGGGACAGACTTAAGGTCAAATTTTGCTTCCCGTGGACTTGATTTAATTTTCCTCAACTTCAGCTTGAACTTGCAGATGAGTAGTTTGTGGTCTGTCCCACAATCAGGACCCAGCCTGGTTTTCACTGGTGATATTGAGCTTCTCCAGTGAGTCTTTCTACAGATGTAATAGATTTAATATCTGTGCACATTATCAGTGAAATCCATGTGTATAGCGTGTGTTTATGTTTCTCATAAATATGGTATGTAAAGAATATTTTACGTGTTATATATTGACTTATATGTATGTTTTCTGTATCCTCTTATGTTATTTTTCTGTTAAGCTTTCCTTGGAATGTGGATAATGAGTAGTAGATTTTTCATTCTTCCCATCTCTTTTTTATCTTTTTATTCATAAGTTCTATTTTTATATATTTAGTATCCTTTTAACTTTTATCTTTATTTTATTTACTATGGATATTTTCCATTTATTTCATTTAGTTTTCTAGAGTTAAAAAACTTTTTCCCTTTTATTGCCTAAGCTGAAAATATGGCATTCTATTTTCCAAACCTCCCAATACCCAGTTTCTTTGGACAATAAGAACGAAGAGTCAGTGCAACCAAATTAAGGGGGAGAATAAAAAAAACACCAGATATTCACCATCACACATGTTTTAATTCCTCACTTTTAGGTTAATATGTGTTTTCTTCTCCTGGTGAATAAGAATTTAGGCTCTTAATTTTGATGTGGGTATGAATTTCACCCTTTAATTGTCGGTGTAACTTTGGAAGTATTTATTAACCACTTTGATACTCAATGATTTAATTATTAGATTATACATTATTGATAAAGAGTTTAGCAAAGATCTTCAATTTGCTAAGTTTTTAATAAATATTAGATAATAAGTGTGCTTGTCAAAGTAGAGGGTCAAGGAAAAAGACACAGATTCTCACCAAGGTGGATTGACACAGTGGCTTCATAAGTTATTTCAAGCGTAGCAACAATTGTGAGGATGGTGCAAGACCAGGCAGTGTTTCATACTGTTGTGAATTGGTTCTTTATGAATCAGGGCTAACTTGATGGCAACTAAGATCAACAATAGTAATATGCAATAAATATTTCCTAGTAATAAGAATGGAACCTATACAAAATCAGATTCCTGTAGTAACTGTTTTCTCTTAGGAGGGCTTTCAAGTAGTTCATTTTTAGGATATTCTTGGAATTGTACAGATGCGTATATTCCAGTTTCTTAGAAGGCAACACAGATACCCATATCAGAGGATTTTTTAAAAATTACTTTTCTAAGTGTATTTTTCCAGCTCTCCAATGCATAGCACCTAATTGCGAAGACTATAGCCTAGATCAGGTGCACCTTAGTCTTCATCGCAGGGTTGGACAGTGATTAGGGATGATGGAAAGAGAACTGATACTTTTGAGCTGTGGTGCTGGAGAAGAGTGTGGAATATACCATGGACTGCTAGGAGAACAAACAGGTTTGTCCTGGAAAGGGTGAAGCCAGAATGCTCCTTGGAGTCAAGGATTCTGAAGCTTCGTCTGACATACTTTGGCATGTTGCAAGGAGCGATGGGTCCTTGGAGAGGGGTATCATATTTGGGAGAGTGGAGGGACAGTGCAGGAGAGGGAGACCCTCGATGTGATGGATAGATTCTGTGAGTGGAGTGGTGAGAATGAGTGTGTTTGAGACATCAAGGTTGGCACAGGATAGAATGGCGTTTGGGGCTATTTTACTTAGGGTCACTATGAGTCGCAAGCGGCTCGATAGCACATACCAGCAACAACAAGTATATTTGAAGACTGGAGCAAAAAATTAGTAGTGAATCTCATTATGTACTCCTCTAGTTTTTTCCTTCTCATGGCCTGAAGTTAGTTTTTTCATTTTCCTGGCCTTGAATGAGTACTTTATCTTTAAAGTAAAACGTATTAAATTTCTTAAAAAGGAAAAATGAGAACTTTAGTTTAATAACTTTTAAAATTATTAGTCATAGAATATACAAATGAAGACATTTTAAGATACTATAATATACTTAATAATGTTGTTATTGTTATGTGCCATCACGTCGCTTGAGACTCTAAGTGACCATAAATCCTGCTCTATCTTGAGCCAACCTCATTGTCTCTGGCACACCTACCCCCATTTCCTCAGGTACTAAGTCAGTTCATCTCATCCAAGGTCTTCCTCTCTTTTGCTGTTCTACCCTTCCAAGTATAATGTCCATCTCCAAAGACTGGTTCCTCCTTGCAACGTGCCCAAAGTATGTAGATGGAGCATCATAATCCTTTTCTCCAAGGAGCAGCCTGGTTTTACTCTCTCCTGGATGAATCTGTTTGTTCTTTTAGCAGTCCATGGTATATTCAGTACCCTTCTCCAGTACAACTCAAAGGCATCACTTCTTTTTCTTTTATCCTAAGTCATTGTCCAACTCTCTTGATACAGAGCTTTATTCAGTTGGGAAAGTCAGATACTGTCAAGCCAGAAAAAAAAAAGAAAAGCAAATGCTTTTATTTCACAATTGGAATATTCTTTCCTAAAATTTTCAGTGCCTTTTGTTTGACAACTATAAAATACAGTCCTAGAACATTTACAGCCACCATATAGCTTCAATATTGAACATGATTGATATGCTGTATAGAGAAACTGATTACAAAAATAATGTGAAAACTTCCATTATCACATAAAAATTAAAAATATTTCAATAAAGGAAAATGGTTTAAATTATCTAATACAAAAGTTTTGATAGCTTTCCCTAGGGGCAGGTCATTATATGCTATTAATGAGCTCAGTTTATGCTGAAAGTATCCATATTTGGCCTTGTGCCTTAGAAACTATTCTTGAATATTTAAAATGGAGCACACGTGTTCTTTTGTAATATTGCTTGCACATCTGCTGGCTTTGAACAAAATTGTAAGCTGTGTTAATAATACTCCTTTTGTGTTGGGTAGAAAAGATAGGACAGTGTCAGTGGTTTTGCTTTTAAAATTTCTTTTAAATTTTCAGTCTTTAGAAAACCTAAATAGTGACACGATAGAACCAATGCATTCTAACCACCTCGAAATGGAAAGAAATCTGAATCTTCCTACTGATGAAAATGATGAAGATGAAAATGAAGGTATTGAAGAGGAAGAAGAAAATGAGGGTAAGTATCGTAATATGTCTAAAATGTCTCACTATTGACTTTATTTGGAATCCACTTTTAAAATACTTTGAAGGTCAAGGACTTGGGGGCATGTAATTAGTTAATGGGGCAGACAAAGGTGCTTTAAAATATCTCAGTTCTTTAATCTCCATAAAACACCATCTTACTATTTATAAAAATGACAGAAATGTCATGTAATTTGGTGGATGTGGTGATATGCTCCTTCCTAAACTTCAGGATGTGTTCAGGTGCTGTGTTCTGTGGGAAATTTCATTTCTCCCTGCTATCTTCGTTCTACTAGCTGCCCCTCCTGTGAATTTTCCTTACTTTCTGCTAGTGCTTATAACTATTACAGCAATTTTCTTGTTCTGTTTTTATTATTAGCCTGCCATCTACATTTTCCTGTGAGATTTTTGAGGGCAGAAACTGGTTATTTTATTTCTATGATCTATTATGTTGGGACGAGTGATCAAAACCCACTTTGCAGACACAGTAATCTTGTGACTCTCCCTAAAATGGATGGGATTTAAAACAAAGAAAACAGTAAATGGTGTTATCTATCACTGAATTTTTTTAAAAAACAAAGCCACTGAGATAAAACTTGTCTCCAGCTCTAATCTAGTATACTTCTTAATCCTCAGTACTTCTTTTACTTTATTTTAAGACCATTCTGTGCCAGAACCTAATGCAGAACAAATTAATTGCCTTAAGACCTATTTTGGGCATTCCAGTTTTAAACCGTGAGTATAATCTTAGTTAAATAAATTAACTAGTTAGTATATTTGTCACCAAAGTAAACAATGAAAGATGCACCTACTTAAGAATAACAGTGCACCTTCACTGTAGCTTGTCCTTGTTCTATTATATTTCTTTTAAATGACAAGAAAGCTATTTTAAAGTAAGACTTATAGAAAATTATTTCAATGCATTAATTTTGTAAGAAAAAAATTTTTTCCCTAGCATGTAGATGGTCTGTATAGACAATAATTTAGGTATATTAGTAAGTAAGTACCTTGTATAACCGGGATATAGATCAAGAGTAGACTATTATCAGTACAAAATGAGACTACATCTCCAATTGATTCTTTTTTCTTTCAAAAGTTTACTAGGAAATTTCTCAGTCACTAATAAAATAAAATGATGTTTTTATTGTCTATACCCACCACCTAAATTCTACCATAATCATTGTACTATAACTGTGCTGTATTTCAGAGCTCTGGTGGAATCTGTAGGGAGTTGTACTACTAACCTAATGTCTTTTCAGTTAAGTTCACTTGTGACTCTCTGAGAGAAAGATAGACAACCTCCTCCCATGTGATTTACAGCCTACGAAACCAACTAGAGGGTCAGCTGTGAATCACCTATTCTTACTAGATAGCAATGAGACAGAGTGCTGTATATTATTATTCATCTCTCTTTTTACCCACTAACCTATCTAATTTTAAAAATACATATAAATATTTCTATATTTCCTGCTCAGTACTTCAGGGTATTGTTTTATATACCGTTGAGTTGAAATCGACCCATAGCTGACATACCAGGTTTTCAGAGGCAGTTAATTACACAAGTAGAGATTATCCATCTTTCTCCTGCAGACCAGCTGTTGGATTTGAACCTCGTACCTTTGGGTTTCCAGCACAACTCCTTACCACTAGGCCACCAGAGCTCCTTCAGTACTTCAACATAGAAACTATTAATTAAAACTCAATATTTGTGTCCACTTTTCCTCTTGATTTGAAATTTTATATATAATAAACTATATAAACTTCTAGTGTGCATTTGCAAATATTAAGTGTGCATGTGCCCTTGTTTATAAGCAAAATCCTTATCAAGGTATATAGAACATTATCATCACCCTAGAAAAGTGCCCTCATTTTCCTTCTTAGTCAATTCTTACTCCTGGGGCTTTCCTCCTTTGGATGAAAAAGATTTGTTCTGTTCTCTATCTAGTTTATAGCTTAACTTTTTAATATGTAATACAGTTTAACAAATAAGCTAGTGAACATCCTCTTCATTTAGACTTCTTGAATGGGAGTAAGATGCTTGGTTTAAAGTTCCAGAATATATACATTTATATGTGAAGCTCAAAAATGCCAAAGAAACTCTTATGAGAGGAAGTAAAAATATTAAATAGATTTTAGCTTGTCCCTTGGTTTCTTATTAGTAGAATAAAATAGATTTTTGCTTTTTACCCTCAAGGGTTCAATGGAAAGTGATTCATTCTGTATTGGAAGAAAAACGGGATAATGTTGTTGTCATGGCAACTGGTAAGATATACTTAAGCAAATAGCCTAATCCTTTGAAAAATAAAGCTTGATGACTTTGAAGTGCTTAAGCTTTGACTAAAGTCTCAAAATATAAATGCAAGTGGTATAAAACAGAAGAAATTAACAAATTATACTCAAACTTATGTATGAATTAGCCTTTTGGAAATTAGCATATTAGCAGTGACCATTCAGCCCTTACCAGATATTATAATACATAGTTTATTTTTGTTTCTTGTTATCTATTATTTTTACTTTAAGGGTATGGAAAAAGTTTGTGCTTCCAGTATCCACCTGTATTTGTAGGCAAAATTGGCCTTGTCATTTCACCTCTTATTTCTTTGATGGAAGACCAAGTGCTCCAGCTTGAGTAAGTAATGTTTCATTGCCACTTTATTCTCTTCTTCTATGGGGTTCATGAATGATACATATGATCTATCACATATTAAAATATAGTTCCCTGTGACACCGTTCTTTCAGTGAGGCTTTACTTTTGTTAGTAATACATAGTATTTTGTGGAAGGCTTTGCCCATCTTTTATGTGTTCTTTGTAATTTAAGGCTGTCAGATATCCTCCAAGGAATAAATTTTTTAGTAACTTGTCAATTTATATCAGTTCATATAAAACAGCTCAAATTCTCTTTTCTTAACTCTTTTTCATTAGTTTAATATGAAGTGTATATGTGGAAGAATAATTTTTAAATATGAAAAAGTTTCAGTTTCTTCATTATGAACTTGCATTTTCACCTAAATACCTTTCTTTTGCTATGATCATTGAAGGAATTTATTAATTGGATTTGAGAGTTAAAAAAAAATTAGAGAGGAAGGGTGTACATTCTTATGTTCACTTTTAAGTATGAAGTTGATTTTCACAATGGATTAATAGCCCTGGAATATTTGTTTTTCTTGTAGAATGTCCAACATTCCAGCTTGTTTTCTTGGATCAGCACAATCAAAAAATGTTCTTGAAGATATTAAATTGTGAGTAATTTATGTGATTTTTAAAAAAAATCATGTACTCAAATATCTGTAATTTTTATACATAAAATTTATTTGCTGCATGGGAAAAAATCTACAATGTAAAAAGTGCATTTTCACTTTGTAGTTCATTTGCAGAACTCTTTATTGTAAAGTCTTTTCATTATCCCATATATCTATCGATTGGCCTTTGCATTATTTCTGAATTTTGGCTTTTATAAATATAGCTTCTGTGAATATATATGCCAGTCTTTTTATGAACATCTGCTTTCATTTATTTGGTAAATATTTAATAATGGATTCACTGCATCACTGTTAGATATTATTCACTCACTCACTCGTTCATTGCTGTTGTGTTGGAAACAGCTCATAGCTGACCCTCCAGTGCATTTTCAAAGGCTGTAAATGTCCAGGAGGAGATTGCCAATCTTTCTTCTGTGGTGAATCTAGCATTCACTGTGTGAATTTGTTTTTTTTAAATTGACATGCAATTTCTACAACATGACATTTACCATTTAAATAACCTTTGCTTTTGTTGTGTACCTTGTGTCGGGAGCCAACCCATAGCTGACCATCTGGCAGGTTTTCAGAGGCAGTCAATCACGTGGCAGGAGATGGCCCATGCTGCTCCTGTGGAGCATTTGAACTAAATTTTGATAATTGTTTATGTATGCTGCATACAAGTCTTTTATGTGATACATGTTTGCATGTATTTTCTCCCACTCCTTGCTGTCCATTTTCATTTTCTTAACTGGCCTTTTGAAGAGATGTAGTTCTTCATTTGATAAGGTCCTGTATGTTGATTTATTCTTTTATAGATTATATTTTGGACGTTGAATCTAAGATCACAAAAGCATTATTTTATCTTTTCTCCATGAAGTTTTGTTGTTAAAAATTTTGTATTTGGATTATCATCCATTTTGAGTAAATTTTATGTATTATGGTATAGGTATTGATTGGTGTTTTTTGTTTTTTTTGTATGAATGTCAACTTATTCCAACTCCATTTGTTGCAACAACTCTCTTTTGTCCACTAAATTGTCTCTGCACTATTGTAAAAAAAATAAATCCACCTACCACTTATATATGGATCTATTTCTGGGCTTGCTCTTCTGTTCGTTTGATTTATTCGTCTCTTGATTGGTGTCTCTAATTATTTGCTACTCAGCGCAAGACCTTCAGGTTTTTTTTCCTTTCTTTCGAAGTCTATCCTAGGCTGTTTGTATCATCATAAATATTGCACAATTTTCTTTTTAACCAACATGGAAAGATTTTTTTCAGGGTTACATATAGCTAGATATATAAAGTTATATTTAGAATTGTTATCACTACTTGACCCTTGAAGAAACAGAGGCATTCTGAAGTTAAGTAACTTGCCTTAGAGATTAATAGCATGTAAAAAGTAGAACTGAGATTCAAACGGGGGCGATGTGAGCCCAGATCTTATTATTTATATTGCTTTTACACTAAATAGAACACTGTATTAATTTCATGCTAGCATGGTCTAGTGAGAGCACTAGCACAGTACCTAGCACCTAAGTAGACACTAAAATTTTCTGAGCAGGTTAAATATTATAGTCTTTTAATAAAGAAAGTTAAGTTTTGCTTATTAACTTCATCTTTTTTTATGGAATATGAATGGAAGAATGAAACTTTCTATATATTTTTCCTTTGTTGTTGTTGTAGTTGTGTGCCATTGAGTCACTTGCAACTCATAGCAACCCTATGTACAAGAGCCCTATACGCCATTCTATCCTGTGCCAACCTCGCTGTCTCAAAGACACTCATTCGCACTACCCAATCACAGAATTGATCCATCTCATCAAGGGTCTTCCTCTCCTGCGCCGTCCCTCCACTCTCCCAAGCATGATGTCCCTCTCCAAGGACCCGTCCCTCCTTGCAACATGCCCAAAATATGTCAGACGAAGCTTCATAATCCTTGACTCCAAGGAGCATTCTGGCTTCACCCTCTCCAGGAC